AAAAAAAAAAAAAAAAAGTTCAAGTCCAAAGTCTCCTCTGAGACACAAAGCAAACTTTTAGCTGTAAACACCTGTAAATATCAAAAAGAAGTTAAACACTGCCAACATAAACAATGGCACAGCGTAAACTCCCAAAGGAAAAATTCCCACTCCCAAAGGAAAAAACCTGGGGGACAGAAAGGGATGGCACAAAAGCAAGACTGGAACCCAGCAGTGCAAACATTAAATCCTAAAACTCCGCGTCCAGCACCCAAGGCAAGCTGTGGTGAGCTGTGAACTCCAAAGGGCTTGGGCAGCCCTGCCCCTAGAGCATTGCCAGTGGTTGCGGCTCTTGTGGCTTCTCTCTTGAGATCACTTGTTTCGCTTCCTTCACCTTTCCTCAGATGATCTGAGGGCTCTCCAACCTTCTGGGGTCTCCACTGCACTTTTGGCGTCACATTCACAGATTCACACACAGCCCTCTCAGGGGGACCCTGCCTGGCCCCTCAGACCTTCTGAAATCTGGGTGGAAGCCCCGCTGACCCCGCAACTCTTGCATTCTGCGTGCGCCTAAAACCAGCACCAGGTAGATGATGCCAAGGTCTACCACCAGCTTGGACATTAACTGGGATCCCTTGCTTCATGGTTGTAGAGGTATCCAACTGCTATAAACCAAAGCCTAGGGAACAATATCACCAGGTATCCCTTTTTTGAACATGGGGCTGTCTTCTCAAAGCAAACTCTTTCACTTTTACAATTTCGAGTCTGAAAAGGGTAGGGCCTTGCTAATTTCACACATGTATTTTTCTAACTGTCCTGTTATACTTGGCTTTGTTGTTACTGTTGATTTGTTTGTTGAGACAACATCTCGCTATGTGGTTTAGGCTAGTCTTGAACTCACTACGCAGTTCTGGCTGGCCTTGAACTCATGGTGATCCTCCTGCCTCAGCCTCTCCAGTGCTGGGATTATAGGTATGCACCATCAGCCCAGCTGCTGACTTCTTTTTAATGCTAATCTTTTAAGCAATGGATCCCTCTTTTGCTCCAACTTTGCCAGCTTTCCTTCCTTTCTGGGGGAACTGAAAACATTTCAAATTGACATGAGAAAAATGTAGACAAATTTTCTGACAGAGCAAAGCACACATCACCTGGAACACAACTGCTAATGGAGCCCTTCTTCCCAGCTGAAATCTCCTGAGCCTTTGTCATCTGCCTTTCCATCAGGATTGTGATCCTCTGAGCTCTGACCAGAATCTCCTCGTCAAGCTTGACAAACAGCATTCTAGGGCTGCTTCTCCAGCCAGTATAACCAAACCTTTCCAAATCCCTCCCTCAAACCAGTTCCAAAGGCATCTAGACCACATGGTCAAGTATAGTCACAGTGATGACCCCACTCTTAGAACCAAAATCTGTGTTTTAGTCACTTTCCCATCACTAGGGCAAATACCCAACACCAACAATTTAAAGGAGGAGCGGTTTATTTTGTTTCAGTCCTAGCATGGCTAGCAGCATGGAGGAAGGGCCTGGGCCAAAGAAAACAGCTCATCTCATGGCACAGAGGAAGCAAAGTATGAAGAGAGGGACCAGGAGGGGAAAAACACCCTATCAGGTCACCTTCCTAGCGACCCTCTTCTTCCACCCAAACCCCATCTTCTAGCAGCAAGTCAGCTAGGCTTCCTTGAGACAGTAACACTTGAGATGAAGGGTAGAAAATAGAATATTGCCATAGTCTCAATATTTGTGTCCTCCCAAAAGTGATCAAAGTGACCTAGGTTTCAGAACTATGAGAAAGAAATTTCTGTTATTAACAAGCTACCTGGTACGTGGTATTTTATTACAGCAGACTGAATGGACTAAGACAACTATCCTGTGTGAAGATACTGTGGTAGGAGAGGACCTGGACATTTGAAGGATTGTGCAGCTGGAACAGAGTAAGAGAAGAGTGAGGTGAGGCAGGCACAGGGCAGGCAGGGCCTCGGAGGCCTCACTGAAATTTTGGATGTCTTAAGAGCAACAAAAAGTCATCAGGGTTTTTGTGTTTGTTTATTGTCTTTTGTCCTTTCTGATACTGGGTATGGAACCCAAGGTCTTGGCATTGAGCTACATCCACAGCCTTTTTTTTTTTTTAACTTTTTATTTTTCTGTTTTGTTTGTTTTTCGTACTGGGAATCAAACTCGGGCCCTTGTGTTTGCAAGGCAGGCGGTGGAACCACTGAACCAAATCCCTGGCTTAACTTTTATTTTTTGAAACAGAATCTCACTTAAGTCACTAAATATCTCAGAGTGGGCTCAAACTTGCAATCCTCTTGCCTCAGCCTCCTAGAGTGCTAAGATTACAAGTGTACATCAGTGGGTTTTAAGCAGGAAAACAACAGATCAAATTTGAAATCCAATGAGATCCAAGGACAGTGTACGTGAAAATTTGCAGGGACAGTGAGATACAGGGAGGCCAGTGGAGTCCAGGGTAGTAATCCAAGCAAGAGATGGTGGTAAAATGGATTAGGAGAACAGGCGAGACAGGAATGGAAAGGGAAAGAATGAAGGCTTGTACGAGTATATAAAAGGGAAACCAACAGCATTTGATGATTGGATATGGACACAGAGTGATGAAGACTGAGGTCCCAGATTTCTGGCTGGTGCAGCTAGCCAAACCATGTATATTTTACTCAGAGAGAGGACACTGTACAAGTAAAAATATGTGAGGAAAATTTTGTGCTCAGCCTTAGCCATGTTGAGTTTGAGATACAATCCCCCAGTGGAACTATCCAGAAGGCAAATGGGTATGAGAGTTTGAAGGTGAAAAGAGAGGAGAAAAACATTTGGGAGTCGCACCAGGGCCAGCCCCGCCAACCAGGCCCGGGAGGCACTGTGCCTCAATACAGTACTTTCAGGACTCCCAAAAAATGCTTTAATGTCTTTTAAAATGAGAAGGAAAAAAAACACCTAACTTTTAGGTCAAAAAAGGTGTTTTAATATATAATATTAATATACTCACCTTTATACTAATCCAGTCATAATTTTTTTTGAAACGTGGGGGACTGGAGATACACCTTAGTGGTAGAATGCTTGCTTAGCACATGCCAGGCTCTGGATTCCATCCCCAGAACCCCCGCAAAAAATTATAGAGGAAGGGGCAGGGGATTTAGCTCAGTGGTTCTGCCACTTCCTCTCAAGCTCAAGTTCCTGAGTTCCATCCCCAGTACCAAAAAAAAATTTATATAGGAAGGGTTCTGTAAAAGTCATAATGCCACCTTCATTGGGTCAGTAAAGATGTTTTCTACTACAGTAATGGAAACTCCAGCAGAGACCATATTTAATGCCCCTTACCCTGGAAGCTCAGCATGAGCGTGGCCGCCGTGGCTGCCATAAAGAGCTCTCTGGGACAAAGACTCTCCAGCTTTCCACACTGTCATCATTACTTTCGGCTCCAACTTCAGCTATCAGCAAAGCAGCTGGAGCAGTTCCTGGTGCCTCCGAATTTGACAACATGCCCAGGAGGAAGAGATACTGTTGCTTCAGAGGGCTCTCTCCTAGGAGTGCGGAAACCCATACCAGGAGTCCCCAGCAAAAGTCCTAGGTAACGGGATAAATGTTTGTTTCATATGTTGAAACCGTAACCACCAAGGTGTTGGTATTAAAAGGTAGAGCAGGGGATTTAGCTTAGTCGTCCAGCCACCTCACAAGCTCAAGGACCTGAGTTCAATCTCCCGTACAAAAAAAAAAGAAGAAGAAGAAGGTGGAGCCTTTGGGAGATAGGGGTAGAGCACCCAGCACTGGAGGATTACACCCTTAAAAAAGGCAACAGACCTCTGGCCCTTTTCCACCATGTGAGGACCCAACAAAAAGAGCCATCTGTGAGCCAGGAAGGGCCTCACCAGACACTGAATCTTTCAGTGCGTCAATCCTGGGCTTCCCAGCCCCCAGGACTGTGAAAGATAAATGTCTGATTTATCACCAAGCCTATGGTGTTCTGTTATAGCAACCCCAAGATAGTCCTTTTAGTCTTGCTGAGCAGGATCAGAGCATATCGTCATCCCTAAGCCAATTACAGTCCAGCAGGATGAAATGGACACAACAGGCTCAGGCCAGTCATCTGCGGTAGAGGAGAAAGTAGGGAGCCAGCAGTGTGCCTGCTCTAGAAGTCTTCCGCCAGGAGGTGGGAAGAGAGCTCAAAGTATGGAGGAGCCCAGACTGTATCCAGAGCAAGAAGCATGGAAGACCAGCAGCTTCCATACTCCAGCTCTACTGCAAGGCTTGAAGAGCAGAGACTGAATCCCTTCCTGCTATAGAAGGGCCTCCTATCTGATAGAAGAGACAAACCACTAAACTCAGGTACAGATACACCCGAGCTAGGGCTGCATGAGCCTAGTCCCCAATAACTATGCAATTTTTGGCAAGTTACTTAACCTCTCTACCTCAGTTTCGCCCCATAAAGGACCCGGTACACAGTAAATATCAAATAAGTGTAGCTGTCATTGTGTACATTTAGGTTGTGGGAAGCCACTGGAAGGAATTTAAGCAGGAAAGTGTCCTGGTCAGATTTGTGCCTTAGTTACATGGCTTGGGTAGTCTATGCTCTGTCCTTGCTCGAAGTTGTATCTTTACTCGGTCACTATGAGTACATATCTCCCTCCTGCTACCCAAGACAGCTCCATCAGACCCTCCAGCACCATCACAAAATCTCTGTTGATTTTAGCGGGGTTCCTCTGCTTTGAAATCAGGATGAATTACATCTCTTGTCTCACCTCTGTCCTCTTGCACTGCCGCTGCTCAAGAAATTAATCAGGTTTATTAAGCATGACCTCTCTCAGGAGCCCTGCCCCCAGTCTGCTGATCTGTACCTGTCTGCTGCTCTCCTTGGCTCCAATCAAAGAGGCCTCTGCCTCCCTTAGTGTTCCGATGGGGGCAGGGACAGCCAGCCGGGTGGCCACATCTTTTGTTGTTTGCAGAGACTGACGCACCAAGCTGGATCGGACAAAGGCAGGATGCTCCCACAGAGAGCATAAGGCCTTTTGTTGCCATGGCTGTGGAATAAAACGGGAATGAAAGGGATAAATGTTGCATCCAAATACGCTAATAATTAACACTTAGCGCCATGGATATAAAAAGCACTTAATGCTAAATTACAATGATCATACTAGCTATTCTTTATTCAACCCCACTCCATAAGGCACCATGGTTTGGCAGCTCAGTACAAGTGAGCTGGAACCTAACGACTGGGGTCTAAATCCCAGCTCACTGTTTAACAGCTCTGTGACCTTGGGCAAGTTACTTAAGCTCTCCAGCTGCACTCTTCGCATCATTTCATCACCATGAAAATACACAACTCATAGTCACACGAGTTCATATTATGCGTATATTTTATACGCCAGATTTAGCATTTCATCTACATAGGTTAGTATACTTCAACCTCAAAGCAAACTTGTGACATAGACATTATTATTATCTCTATCAGTTGAGGAAATTAAGACTCCGAGCGGTTGAGTAACTGTCGCAGATCACCCAGCAAGAAAGTAGCATAACCCAATTGTGTCAGACTTGAAAGCCATGTACTCTCTACTACACCACGTCCTCTGTGGGTATAGGCAGAAGACACCATATTAGTGTAACCATACAAAGCCCATCTAACAAATCCATCCTCCCTTTAGTTATACTTGGAATAATTAGGCATTTTTCGGAATTAAGGACACAGGAGTCTGTGTACAGAGGAGCTTAACTGATGATTTCCATCCTCTCCAATCCTGCATTATGCCACTATGTGGACACTGGACACAAGGTAACAGGTTGCATCATGTCCCAGGGAGGGGCAAGTCTGGGGCCAAAGTGGCCAAGGTGGCCCAGGACAGCTCTTATACCCAAGAGTCTCTGAGTCACCAATAAAATGGACAAAACCTACACAGCTCAAAGTCCACTGCATCTGGATAGCACTTTCCTGACAGAGAACATAAGACTCTTGAAGGGTGACTGAATTTTGTTTTTTAATGTATAGGCACTCCAGCACCTGGTTTATTATACCTTCTGAGGAGGGGAAATCGGACTTATGTGTGGCCATCAGGGTTCTGACCAGTGCCCATCCCCATCAGGCCTCGGTAGCTCTTACTGAAGTATTCAAATACGACTTGTTCCTAAATTATCACGTAGGCAAAATAAAACCCAGCCCTCCAATAATTCTGGGAAGGAGCAGAATCTGGCCATATCATGAATTGCAGCCATTCACTGAACCCAAATTTTGGGCAAGGCATTGTCCTTAGCATGAACCTTGTCAAAGCCCCCATATATCTCCTTGTGCCTCACTTATCCCTCCAGCCTATGGCTAACTCCTGATGACTTTTCTCTGTACCCCTCCCATGTCCACATATCCAATCACAACTGAGTAAGAGCTGGCGGGGTCCATCCTGCACCCTGGGAAACACAGCCTAATTCCTCAATGGGGTCACAACCTGGTTTCAGGATAATGACTCCTGAACGGGCTTCCCTGGACATCCCCAGGCTACGCCCACACCTAGCTCAGTGAAGCAGAGCCCACTCATGAGTGGACAGGCAAGTTGTCAATGCTGTGTCCCCCACTAGCCCTAATCACTGGCCATTTCTCAATCCTTCCACCTGCACCTCCTCTTACCTCCCGTTCTCATCCCTGGAATGGTTGGTAGAGGAAAGTGTCAGATGTGGGAAAGGAATCCCGGCTTCCCACAGTCCTTCCCTGCTTACTGGGTGGGTAAACCAGGCTGGGCACCAACCACTTGGCTTCCAGAGTGCCCAGCCAAGGCCTGGGTAAACTGAGGACAATGATGACACCTAGAGGTCATATGAAAAACTGCAGTCTGAGTACTGCCCAGCTGGTCTTTAAGGGCTTGTTTATTAATAAATATTTACTGAGCTCTGAACCCATGCCAACCCTTTCTTTAGAAATAGCATAGTTCTCAGGGGTCTTGGAAGACGTTCTCAGGCAAATAAAACTTATCCTGCGGTCTACTGGCTGAGAAAATGTTAGGCAAGAGGGAAAGAGAGAGTACTCCAGGCAGGATAGAACAGCAAAGACAAAAAGCTGTGAGTTGAAAGGAAAGCAAAGCGTTCCTGAGAAACTAAGAACAGTATGGAGAAAAGTGGAGACAAAAGCCTGGACTGTATATAAGAACTTAATCAGCTTTGGGGATGTTTTCTATCTTGATCCTAAAAGCAGTCAGAAATTAGTAAAGCATTTTGGTTGGTTGTTTTACAGTAATAGAGATTGAAGCTGAGGCCTTCATATTGAGCTAAATCTCTAAACCTTTTTATCCATTTTTTTTTTCTTTTTGAGACAGGGTCTTGCTATGTAGTTCAAGCTGGCCTTCCACTCACTGTGGAGCCCAGGCTGGCCTTGAACTCATGGGGATCCTCCTGCCTCAGCCTCCTGAGTGCTGGGATTACAGGCATACACCACCAAGCCTGGAAACTAGCCCTTTTAATCTTATTTTATTTATTCGATTTTTAAATTTTGAAACAGGGTCTTGCTAAATTGCTAACTTGCCTAAACTAGGCTTGAAATTGGGATACTCCTACCTTAGCCTCCAGAGTGCTGGGTCACAGGCATGCACCACCACACCCAGTTTAGTGAAGGGTTTTTAACAGAATGGTAACATAAGTAGATTTGCATTTCTTAATGCTAACCTTGGCTACAGGATGTCGGGTAAGAAAATAAAGACAGGGAGGCAACTAGAAGGTCATTATAGCACCCAGTGATGCAGAAACCAGGATTTGGGGGCAGGATTGTTAGTTTAAAGAAGGTATAGGGATTGAATGAGTAGGGGCAAGGTGATTGGCTGGAGGGGAGAGCTGAGGTATGGGAAGGTATCTGGCTCCCTACAGGTTTCTGGCTAGGACACTGGAAAATAACAGGACAGCTGCTGAGAAGAGGGAGGACAATGTTAGGTATAATGGATTTGAGGAACCTGCAGGACACCCAAGTCAAGACGGCAAATAATCAGTTGATTAAAGTTTAGGAAGAGAGAAATAACTGCCTTTCTGAAGACAGAGGTCCCCTACATGTAAATGGTAGCTGAGGCCTAAGGAGCACTAACATTTAACAGTAGGCAGAAAGGGCTGGGGATTTAGCTCAGTGGTGTCACTGTCTGACTCGAAAGGTCCTGAGTTCGATCCCCAGTACCAAAATAATAATAATAATAATAATAAAACAAACAAGCAAAGTAAGCAGAGAGAGAACATGGCCAGAAGAAAACATGGAGAGTATAACACTATGAAAGCTGATGCAAGACTGTTTCAGAAAGAGCAGATTAGTCAACTATATTCAACCTTCTGAGAAAGCAAGGTGAGATGTGAAATTATCCATTGGACAATATGAAAATTATTGGTGACTCTGGGGCCTTTTAAGATGGAGTGATGGAAAGAAGCCAGATTTGAATGGGTTGTACTGTAAAAGGTCAAAGATGAAGAAAGCAAAATACAGACAATCTGAATACATTTGGCTGAACTATCAAAAGTCACCAGTGGGGTTGCAAGTAGGTGCAATTTGTGTGTGTGTGTGTGTGTGTGTGTGTGTGTGTGTGTGTGTATAACTGGGAATTGAACTCAGGGCTTGGCACTGAGCTACATCCCTAGCCACTTTTAATTTTCTATTTTGAGATTGAGTCCCACTAAGTCCCCAGTCTGTTCTCAAATTTGTAACCCTCTTACCTCAGCCTCCCAGGCTGCTGGCGTTAGTGGCACGCATCACCACTCCAGGTTGGTACAACTTTTTCAAATGACACCAAGGCAGAATTTATGAAAATTTAATATACACCTTGTCTTTACCCCAACAATTCTACTTCCAAGAAATTAGCCTACAAATGTATTTCAGTTACCATCTACATATAAATGATCCTCACAGTTATGTGTCCCTTCCTAACCTATAGATATTTACTGTGGCACTTTACGGATGGCTGAAACGGAATACAACTTGCATGTTCATCAACAGAGGGCTGGTTAATTTAATTATCACGCATGGGGATATGACATAGCTCTTATAAATATACTGCAGGGTTTTAATGAGATGGAAAGGTATCCAAGACTGGTTGTATAAGGATATAATAATGTATATGTTTTAATAAATACATATAAAATGCTTTAAAAGAAAACACACATTGAAGGCAACCACTTTCGGGTCCCTCCTGTCTCTCAGGAGCTATTCTTTGGTCCTCATTCCTATAGTTCAATAAAATTTCCTACTCTTAAAAAATAAATACATGAGAACTCTTCCTGATGGTGACCTCTACAGGGTGATCAGGATAAGAAGAATTTCACATATTTTCCCTATGTCTTGGATTTTTATTTTGAGCATGTACAATTAACTGTTTATAATTTATCTATCTTTAAAAAACAAATTTTGAGGCTGGAGGGGTACCTTAGCGGTATGGCACACCTTGAGCATCCTGGAGGCCCTGAATTCAACCCCAAACAACAACAAAATCCCCACTCCTTTTTAGAAGTTCGTCTAATGAGGGAAGGAGAAAGTAAAATAGCAGGTGCAGGGTAAACAGGACAGAGGCAGGGATTTTGTTCTTGTTGTTAGGGACTATTGAAGATCTCTCTTAAAAAGTGAGAGTGAAAAATATCAAATGGAGAAAGAAATCAGGAAAGTAGCTCATTAATGATGTGACCTGAGGTGAAGTCCAGAACCCTTCTGTGGTCTTACGCAGGTGAGATTCTTCCTTCACAGTGACTGGCTGGAGGGGGTGAGAGTGTCAGCACAGGTATCCACATCTGGTGGCAGGAAGTTGAAGTATCAGTTACCTGAGGGGGTATAACATATTTTTGTCATAATGGTGCATACACAAGGATGTGACAAACCCACACTTATTCTTTAGAATATTCTATTGATTAATTGCTAATTTTTTGTTATGAGTTTTACTATGTTAAACAATGACTGCTTAACAAAAAGTTACAAAATAAAATACTATTCTGTTTTGTATTGGGTTTTTTTGGTACCAGGGATCGAACTCAGGTCCTTGCACTTGCAAGGCAGGCGCTGGAACCACTGAGCTACATCCCTGGCCCTAAACACTGCATTTTTAATGTTTATTGAGTTAATAAAAAAGCATCAAAGTTTTCAATATCAACTGGTATAGAAAGTCTAAAAAAGCACATCAGAAATAAAAACCTATGTGAACTACAAAGAAAAAAAACAGTAGAATTGTACAACAAAAAAAAAACTTTGCTTCAATTGTCAACCCAAGACAGTCTTCACACATGAGAATTGTATGTTCCATACACAAGTATCACTTACACGAATAGCATGTATGTCTTGTTTTCCAGTCCTTTCTTGTAGGACACAGCTGACATCTTTTTGGTTTCCCTGTTGTTGTAGTAGGGTCTTTGTGATGCTGCACCGGCCTGTTCACTTGTCAGCTCACCAGTGTGCTCCACAGTAAATGATCTCTTATGAGTTCCAGTCCCAATCCTCTGAGAAAATCTATCTGGTATTTTGTACTTCTTTTGTGAACTATCAAACCATTTATGTCACACATTTAGGATCGAGTAAAACACAACCATTGGCCAACACTTTGTATTTCGAGTGGCATCATAGTTGCTGCACAACTCATCAATAACATCTACTCCCCCTTTGGTTTTGTTGTAGAAAGCTTCCATCTCAGGCTTCTGTTTGTCAAGGTTTCCCTATCAGTGTTTCCATCACGGTGCAATGTTAACATCAGCAGAGCCAGTTTGCTTTTCTTTGCTATGTACAAGGCCAACATAAATCTTTTATGAAATCCAGAGATTGTACTATACAATCCTGCTTTGAAATTGCAACATTTCATTTGGAATTTCGGCTTTGTTCCTGCGTACATTTCCTATGCTGGTCAATTTGTGCTCTGTTAGCAAATGTAACATCAATTGGAAACTGGTAAACCAATTGTCGAATGTCACATTCCGATGAGTTTGGGAGATGGGAGCAACAAGTCCGTTCACACCATCATTTGGTTTATTACTATATGAATAAGGACCTGGTGGCTGAGTTCCAGGATAAATTTCTAAATTTAAAGCATAGTAAGTCTTTGCATCTCCAAGGGCATAAATTTTTATGCCATATTTTGAAAGGCTTTGTGGCATGTACTGCCTGAAGCAACAGTGGCCGTGAAATACTACAAAATGTTCATCAATAGTCATGTATTCGGAAGATATGTAAATTGCTTGGCAATTACAAATCTGTCAAACAATGTCTGTTGGGCCAGGGATTTGGCTCAGTGGTTCCATCGCCTGCTCACAAGCTCAAGGGCCGGAGTTCGATCCCTGGTAAAAAAAAAAAACAAAAAAACAAGTCTGTTACCCTGGTTAGCACCCAGATTATCAGTTCTTTTTCTTTCTGGACAGGTGGTTTTGTCATCAAAACTCAGGCAATTCTGAAGGAAGCCAAATCTCCTCAGTGTCATTGTTAATCTACAAACCTGAAGACCACACCTGTCACTTTTCCATAAGTCATTTATATTCCTGCAATTACTATGAGAAAGTCCTGCTAAGTACAGCAAACTTACGAATGCTTCAGTTCAGCTAGTGAGGTGTCATAACAAATACATTTCTGAATGTGGTTATTGGTGTGGCGCACACAGAATGTTTTACTTGCGTTTCAGCCTTTGTATATTTCACATTTTGTAGCATTTCATCTGTCACAATTTACAACACTGAATGGCAGTGCTGACATTCTTGTCTACTAGGTTTCACTCCTGCCCAGACCCTCACTATATTTTCAGACCTATTTCTAACTTTGGATCATTCCATTAGGTTGCATGACCATTTTGCAACATTTCAACTAGTCAAATATGCACTCACAGTGCTGTTTTCTCTGTCATCTGAATCAAGGAGATCTGTATTCCCTGTATCTGGATCAGTTGATCCTTGCCCCATCCATTTCACTGTCTCAGGGACTTGGGCTCACACTGATATAGGGGGAATAGATATAACTCCCAAACCTACTAGATGTCTGACATACTGAATTCATGTTCCCCAAAATCAAGAATGAATTCTGAGGAATGATGGAGGTTAAGAGTAGGAAATTTTAGGGGACTGGGGAAGTAGCTTGGTGGCACTGTGCCTGATTGGCCCTGAGTTCAATTCCTGGTACACACACAAAAAAAGTAGGAAATTTTATTGAAGGAGGGATAGCCCCTGAGAGAGACAGAAGGGGACCCAGAAAGTAGGTTGCCTCAGACTCCACTTACAGGGGAGGTTTTATAAAGCAAAATCAAGGGGTGGGAAGAAGGTGGGACAAAACTATGATCAACCAATAGGATTACAAGTATGGTCACTTAGGTAACACTGATCCAATGGGGAGGCAAGTTGTGTAGCAATCATACATGGATGACATCATTAACCTTGATTGATAATCCATAGTTTTAGTCTTATCTTTGTTTTAGTAGTCTTAGTCTTAGTGGGTAGGAAAAAATGGCCTACTCTTAATGGTTTATTTGTGGATCTCAAAAGGGTGGTACTCAAGCTTTTGTTTATCCCTAAGAGATAGATATATGGGCATTTCATCTTTTTTTTTTTTTTTTTTTT